GCTGTGGCAAAAAATCTTGCATCCATCACCCCCTCCGTGTTATAACCCTTCAACTTACCTCTAATTCTGATCCCTTGCCAACGGTGCTCCATGAATTTTAATAACTTGGACTCCAAGTCGCAAATTCTTTTGGTAATCTCAGTTAGTTGAGGTTCGTCCACTTAATTCTCTTCTTGTTCTTGAAGTTGGTGGAGTTGTTTTTGCAGATCAAATTCATCACGATGGCGTTGCTCAACAAACATTTTTGAATATTCATTGCATTTACGTGCCAAAAACATTAGGCCGTTGTTGAACCATTGTATATCGTCCCTAATTTGCTCCCTCTGCTCTCTCCAGAAGGACCAAACATCTTGTAGATATACTTTGAAACGATCAATGCTCAAGAGGGATGTATTTAACTTATAGAAGTCTCTACCTTGATCTGGTCTTTTCCTGAAAGAAAGTAGTATTGCAATCATAGCGTGATCAAGGCCAGGGAAGATACTTCGAGGGAAGATCTCTGCTAATTGAAGAGCTCTTTCTAGTTCTTCTGATAGAAGTATGAGATCAATGCAAGATTTGGATGTATTCATTGTTTGACTCTTCCTAAAACATGTGAATTTACGTTTTATCAGAAAAAGACGTTTGTATGCATCAAAGAGGTTGAGAGACTAGCATAGTCCTTCAATTATTTGTTCATCCCTTCCCACGTACTGTGGACAGGGGGAAGGGATCTGCCAATGATCCAGCTGTCTGTTTGGTGCTGCATTGAAGTCTCCTGCCATTACCATTGGGATACTGGCGGGAAGGCGACCCTTTAGAGATTCAAAGAAGCGACTTTTTTCTCTTACATCATTGGGACCGTATACGCATAGGATTGTCACAACTTCAATTTCTAACATTGCCAAGAGGAAAACCCATCTTCCTTCTTCCTTATCAGCTTCCCAATAAAGTGGATCAACTCTACAGTCAGGGGGAAACCATATTGCTACTCCTGCACTGCCTGGTCTGGGTGCGTGTGCCCTGAAGGCCTGATGGGGCCAGATCTGTCCATGTGTATGATGGTGGTCTACATTATCCATCAAGTGTGTTTCCTGTACACAGATGGCGTCCGGCCATTCCCTGCCTTCCACTCCTTTTAGTTGCTCATAGATTGCCTGCCGTTTTTGTTGTTTGGCCGATGCTAGTCCATTTACGTTAATTGATTTTAGGTCTAGGTCTGTAGCTCTTTTCAGGAGTTTCCAGTCCTTATTCCTGTTGTATAGCACCTCCAATCCTTTTGTGTCTTCCATGGTTTATTTTGTTTGTCAAATGACTGTACATAAATTGTTTTACAAGGTCAACAAGTGACCCAAGTCTAGCTTTCCACCATGATCCAGTAAGGTCTGTCTGTTCTTTAGGAGGCGGGAGAGTAGGATCGTGATGTCAACTTCTGACCAGAAATCACCTGCCTTGATCTTCATTTGTTGGAGTTCTGTTAACGTGTCCTGAGTGAACCAGCGTAAGTTAACTGCCCGTGTGTGCTCGTACTTGAGGAAGATATCCTTAGCTGAAATCCTACCGAAGGTGACTGTCATATGTCCTGAGCCCGACCTCTTCAACAACTTGGGCTTTCAAAAAAAAAAAGGATGGAGCAGCCCGGCAGCCAAGGCCTCAATTCCAGCACTCTCTTACCGCCGCGGGGATAGAGACCTTGCAAATGGGCTTTTCACACACAAAAAAAACAACAACAGAAAAGCCCTTTAAAAAAAGAAAAAAAGAAAAAAAAAAACACAGTGATATCAGATAGGAGTGATGATAAGAGCATACACTCCTACCTGACACACCGGGGGCTTCAGTCTATTTGGTGGGGAGCTGCACCTGCTGGAAAACGCGTCCAGCGTCCCTTGAATAACAATGGAAAGATAATAGTACAGCACATGCTGTCCAGTTGATGTGGCCCAGTGGTTAGAGCACTGGTTGGAAATGCGCGTTGTGGTCTGAGGTTGCGGGCTCAAAACTCAATTGCAACCTTGTGCATGGACACTGGCAGGGCGTTAGATTGACGCACGGCTGGACACACTCCCTTGGGCTGATGCATGGTACTATTACAGACACTGCCTGCGCACCACAAGGGTTGTTCATGGTGTTGTATGTTGGTTCTGGGTTTCACATGGGTTGCTTGGGGGTGTTAGTCTTGGGTGGTCTGTTGATCTCCCCAGTGTTCATGGTGTTGTATGTTGGTTCTGGGTTTGAGTTGCTTGGGGGTGTTTTCCTTGGGTGTTCTGTTGACCTCCCCAGTCTGGCATATCACACGTTCGTGCCATTTCGGTACAGTCATACGATTACATGTTTCAAGGTCACGAGTTCGAGCTTGGCTCGGATCTTGGGGGGGTCCTTGTCCAGCTTACCCCATTCTCTCTTCGAGATACACACATGATGCTGCCTATACATCTCGATACATTGATTCACAGAGCACACACAGCCTTCGGGCATATACATAGCTTGTGAATTATACATGGCCTACGGGCTACATACACAAGTTTCCACTCATAGTGCTGTCTGTACATCTTCATACATAGATACACGAAGCATACACAGCCTTCAGGTATACACATACATTTCGAACTACACAACTATCAGACTGGGGGGGTCTAGTCACTGCGTGGGGTCTAGTATCTGCGGTAGGGACAGGTATGGGCCACAGGAGTTCCTACTGATATTCGGGTAGAACTGTCTACTGGCTATATATAAGGCTTAGACCCTGGGGTAAGGGTAGGGATATAAGTCGCTCAGGCCAGTCCGAGTTCCGCCTGGCCTTGGGTAAACTAGGGGAGGGACGGTAAGACTGCTTCAATGGGTGCTACCCTGTCTGAAACCTAGGGTCCAGAGTCTCTTGGGCCCTGTAGTAGATTGTCTGGGCCTGGCGTCCGAAGTTCCCGTTCGACAAGGCTCGATTCCGCTTCCACCAGGGCTGGGCAACCTATCAGCCCTGGTGCCTATCACTGCTTTTCGGTCCAAGTTACTTGCCCATTGGTAGGGTAATGGTCCTGAGTGCTGGTCACACTGAGGTAGGATAGTGGGATAGGGGGTGCTCTAGGAGTATTGGCGTGAGGGTGGGATGGGAGGTGGTCTCATATTCCAGGACACCCACGGCCTACTGCTCCAGGTGATCACTGTGTACACAGTGACTGGCCTCTACAACACCATGGACTTTTTGAAGGAAAAAAAAAAAAAAAGTACAGCACATGCTGGGAACTGGGCCCAGCGTCCCATATTTACGGCTTTCCTTCTTTTTTTTTGAGGTGAGCCCTGCCAGTGAGGCAGGGCATTCAGCGTCAGTGCATGAGGAAACACATCTTGCAGTCCATTTGCCCTTTTTCCTTGGGCCCACAGGCTTCCTCCCCGGTCACACCACCAGGCCTTCCCCGAGACCCGAAATTTTTGGAATAGGCGACGAGCTTCTTCCCTGCAAGGCTCGGCCCGTGTACTAGGGATTTGAGGGTAGATGGGGGGAGGGAAAGGGAGCTTGACAGATCGGTCAGAATAAGAGGGCAAGGACAAGGACAGGCGCCAAGAAAAAAACAGCAGGGAAAATAGAAGGACGGCGACAAGGCAGCCACCTCTAGTAGAGGTTGCTGGCTTTTCGTTAAAAAACAAAAACAAAACAAAAAAAAGGTCGGCGACAAGGCAGGCTGGGCTCTGTCTCAGTTATCCATCAGCTGACAGATGGTGGTCCCGCTGTCATGTGCAAGCCGTTGATTATGAAAGGGACGCTGGACCTGGTTTGCAGCAGGTGCCACTCCCCACCAATAGGCTGGAGCCATCCACCCAGCAAGACCTCAGTCCATGTGGCCCCCTCATGATAGTGTCCTTACAACATGATGTGAAGAAAAAGAAACAAAAAAACAAAACCAAAAAACAACGTGATCTCCAGGGATTTGGACTACCTGATCCAATTGGCTATCAGCACCAGCCAAACAGGAAAAAAAAATGCCCTTCATTTTCTTCTGGTGAGCAGCAGGAATCCAACTCAGGAAAGAGAGACTAGGAGGTACTGGTGGTTTAAGAAATCCAAACCATTGCTGGCACGCAATTTCTCTGGCGCCGCCAGCATTTTCTGACAGGGTACCAATTCTTCCGCGGCCCCTTGTTAACCTGAATGGGGTTTCCCAATGGCTGGCCTGTCCACTGGCAGCTCAAACGTTGAAGCCAATTCTAGAAGTGACCCTCAACCACAATATATATTCTATTGCAATTCTACAAAAACCTATCTGGTGCCCAAATTTTGATTTCTTTTTGTTTCTTTTTCATTATGCGTTGGGTCTGCCCTGGACGCTGCTTCGAACTGGCCCACCCAGGCTGTCCGGTTGGGCATTCGGAGCGTCAGAGCCAGCCTGGGCCACCTGGCTGATCGCATCTAGAATACTGCGACACCTGATCAGGGTCAAATATGAAGGCCGCCAAGAACATAAACTAGACGGACCGTTACCTCTCCTCGTCGGAGAGGGGGGAAAATAGAAAGAAGAGGGACAGTTACGTACAGAGGTCCTGTTCAATTTGTTTTTTTTTTTTTTTTTTTTTTTTTTTTTGGTAAAACTTCTTATGCAGAAAACCTGCTTACCGGGGTGATAAGAGCACCCCCGGTAAGTAGGTCCCCACGTCGAAGGCTCCATCTATTAGTGGGGAGCTGCACCTGCTGGAAATCGGGTCCAGCGTCCCTGTACACTGATATGATGTGTATCAGCTGGAAAACGGGTCCAGCGTCCCTTTACAGAAACATGTCGATGTCACTTGCTATGCATTCAATACAGTCTATATGTGTTGTTGTTGATCAGTATATGTGATATGATGAAAAACTCCACMTGATCTACAGTCTCTCCCATACGAGCGCAAATCCTATCGATCATACCAAGACATGAAACCCAATCATTGATGTAAATGACCTGGAAATTGAGCCCAGGTACTAATGTGTAGAAGTCTCACAGTTCTCATTCAATCCGTTGTATGTATATTCGAATCTCACCTATATCTCCAAAAAAGGGAAACGGAGGCATTGATTACTTCCCAACTCATGSGAAGGATTGACCTCCTGGCCAGGCCGCATCAATYAAAGAAAGACATTACACCAAACAGCGCAGTAATCAAAGCAAACGAAACCCTAACCGAGAGGTTGGACCAAGCGAGGCAGCAATCGTAGCAAACGAAACCCCCTCACCTAGTGAGCAGTATTGCAGGCCAGGCAATAGCAATCCATCTAGCCCACCCCGATCCGCCTCCAAACCATACAGAAGAAACCCATATGAAGGGTGGCGAGAAAAAAAACTGYATCCCTCGCAACGATGAGAAGCACAGCCACCCCGATGCTAYAGCGCAACCCGCTGTTCCCTTGAGCATCACCAACGTCCGCGTGGTGATTGGGGTTGTTGTTGATGCAATTGTTGTTATTGTTGTTGGTATTGGTATTGGCAGTGTCAGTAAGAACAGTATTGTTGCTGTCGTTGCAAAAAATGAGATGAGCAGCATCGCAATCGGAGGGGGGGGAGGAGATGACAAATCCGTGTTGCAGTCTTCCCCTGCCGCGGCGCGCTTGGGCTGAAATGCCATCGTCGTCGTCACCGTGATAGCCGCAGTCGTCATCATCATCTTGGTTAACAGAATAGCGGATGTTGTTGTCACCCCCGTCCAGTAGTATGGTTGATGTTGAATTGATTGTGGTATTGTGAGGAAGGATGGCGGGAAAGGCCGTAGCAGTGGCAGTGCCTTCATCACTGGTAGATCCCTCATCGGGAGGATTGATGGTGGGAACAAAACCTCCACCCACTCCCATGGCGCGAGCCTCGAGTTGGTCACGTAAATGAGATCCCTGGGCGAAAAGGGAGTTACAGACATCCATCAGAGCATCCGCCCGCCCCCAATCAATGAGGGCATCGAGCTGGGGATCCGGCCCCGCCTCCAGCTCCCAGATGATGTCCAGCATGTCTTGATTGATGTCTGCCAACCAAGCGGTCAACGAGATTGCCCCCCCGTCAACCTCAGACCCCTTCTGCAGCTGCATAGACATCCTCCCGACAAGCGCCCGCAGAAGCTGACCGCCTACCTCCAAGAGCTCCAGCCAAACCGCCGCACCACGTTGTAAGTCATCCTTAGAATCCATGTCTCTCCCGAGGATTCACGCCGCTGTTGTCACTTGARCGTTAATTCCACACGGCYGGCGCTGCCCCTGTCCACGCACCACAGGGGAACCACGTCACCACACAGGTAGCAAGCAGYGCAGCCACTGCCACGTGTCTGTCTGGTGCGCGCACAGGCCCAGCGAACAGGAAGCAAACTTCCTGAAGCTGGTCGAGCTGAGTAGCAACCGGGCCTCGCCGGTTGGTCAGCTACGGGGCGCTAGCGCTAGCGCGGCGTGTGCCTAGTGGCTGGGTCCTGTTCACTTTGTAATGAAGAAAACAAGTTAAATTGTTGAGAAATGGAATAGTAGTCCCTCATCACGGTGATGAGGGGTAGGCAGGCATTGCCGATGGGGGGAATCGGCGGTGCTAGCGCCGAGCAATAGCCAGTCACTGCACCTCCCTCTACCCCTTGCTCTTGCACCACGCTGTGGTGCCAACCTACCCCGCGGGCTAGGGAGAGATCCGGGTTGGTTGGTGTTCCCCCGTACTATACATAGACTAGCAAGAGGGTGAGATAGATGAGTACTGGCAAGAAGATGAGATAGATGAGAGGAGAATATAGCTTACTTCAAAAAAACAAAAAAAACTACTATGCCTCAAAACATAAGGATATGCCAGGTGTCCCCCTGTCCATGTCGACGGGCGGGGAGGTACCACAAATAGGAAAACATCGATGGCTTAGGCCTGGATCCCACAGGAATGCGGAAAGGAAAAACTTTGCCGCAGAACTGTTTCCGGGACCCCACCACCCACGGAAGAGGTCCTGGTAAGTTGCAATTTATTCCGCGGAACTGTTTCCCAGGACCCCACAGCCCCCTTTTTTTGGCCTGGAAGAGGCCAGGAATCCCTTTCTTTTTCTTTTTTTTTTCCCCAAAAGCCCAGGGTGTTGTAGAGGCCAAGGACCAGACCCGTGGTGATTGCTGGTAGTGGCAGCCAATGGTTGTCCTGACAGGGTAGGCCACCTACCATACCCATCCCCAGTTAATACTCCTAGCGCACCCCCTGTCCCTACTATCCTACCTCAGTGTGACCAGCACTCAGGACCATCACGCTACCAGTATCGAGGGCAACTTGGACCAGACAGTAGTGACAAGCACCAAGGCTGGACCAACCTCCCAGCCCTGATGGAAGCGGAAGCGGACGAACCTTGCCGTACGGGAACTTCGGACGCCAGGCTCATCCAATCTTCTACAGGCCCAATTCAGAGAGTCTACCCAGCAGGATTACCTAAGCAAGGCAGACCAGCGCCCACGGACACATCCTACCGTCCTTTCCCTAGCTTACCCAAGGTTAGGCGGAACTCAGACTAGCTGGAGCGACTTATATCCCTACCTACCCTAGAGCTAAGCCATGCGTGAGTAGACCCCGTCATATACCTGATAGACCCCCCCAGCCCAGTATCGTAGTTGTGTGTCTGTGTATGTGCCCAGAGGCTATGTATGTTTGTATGAGCCCATAAGGCCATGTGTTTTGTATCTGCCCAAAGGCTATGTGTGCTCTGTGTAACTGTATAGCAAGATGTATGTGCCCGAAGGCCGGAGATGTGCCGTACTATGTAGAGGGAACTATGTGTTAGTTTTGAAGAGATGACAGGCCAAGCTGGACAAGAACCCCCCCGAAAGTCCCAAGCCAGACTCGAACCGGTGATCTATGACATGTGACCTGAAGACTCTACCAATTGAGCAACAATTGCAAACGGCCCCTGTGTGTGATATGCCAGACTGGGGGGATCAACAGAACAACCACGAGAAACAGCCACAAGCAACCCACGCTGTATCAAGACGTGACATACAACACCATGGACAACCCTTGGGTGGTGCGCAGGCAGTGTCTGTATAAGCTTACCGTGCGTCAGCCCGTCATTCTAACGCTCTGCCGGTGTCCATGCGCAAGGCTGCAATTGAGTTTCGAACCCGCAACCTCAGACCACAATGCGCATTTCCAACTGGTGCTCTAACCACTGAGCTACATCAATTGGACGCCAGGAATCCGTTTTCATTTCGTTCACGGCCTGGAAAAGTCCTGCGGGACGGAGAATTGTCGCGATTTTGTGTCGAGTGGAGAGTGTCGGGGGCCCCGACATCTCGAAAGTTTCCAAGGTCTCCTCCCCCAGTCGGACGAGAAGGTGTCCGCCCACGGGTCTTGCTCCACAAGCGTCGTCCCAACGTCACCCGCTACGGGACCTCACCGGTTCTTGCGCTCACCAGCCGACCACCAAGACAAACCACCACTTTCTTATTCAGGACGGTGTGTGACGGACCAATTTCTATTCCGCGCGATTTTCTGCGCGATGACAATGAGGGGTCTAAAGATGGGAAGGTTGGGCCAATTACGGGAGATCGGGATTGAAGGGAAATTGCATCAGTGTCCTCGCTATTTCGTCTTTTTGCGTCGTTTCTTTTCGGACGGCTGGGTTCAGGGCCGGGCAAGTCCTGAGAACTAAATGCATTGAGTGGCTGTCGCGCCGGCAAAGGCGCGAATAATAATGTTTGACATCGCGTCTTTCTTGTTCTGTTGTCGGGTTTTAGGCGCGGACGGCGCGCGAGAATTTTGCTTCGTTCTTTTTAAATTTCTTTTTTGAATCTTGTCGAGCCTTGATGGCTCTCGGAACTTTGGATTTTCTTTTCGGAATTTGTGCTTCTTTTTGCATTAGCTAGGAATTTAGGAATTCGGGATTTCTTTTGCCGCGCGTCGTCCTTCTTGCGCGCTTTTTTTTGCGGCTGCAGCGGAGCCTCTGATTAGTCGGCGCCCTTAATCTTGCAAGTAACCGTAATTTTTAGGCGGGTGCCATTGTAACTGTATCTTTCTTCTTGAGCTTCGGCTTTCCTGCTCTCCCTTTCCCTTTTGCTGTGCCCAGTTAGCCCGCGGCCTGCATGATCGGATCGATGTGTGGAGAGTGGCTTAGTCCCCCACGCCGCGGTCTGGCCATGCAAAATGTAGGCGCTCCCTCTCCTAATCTCCTTTCTAAGTCCTTGCAATTCCGTGTTCTTCACGCATGCATGCACGCTATAAATTCTGGCTGCGCGATTAGATAGCTCTCTTAACCAGCTGTTGGAAGCTCGGGGTAGCGCGATCAGTGAGGGTCGGCTCACGAGCGAAGTAAGAGGTGAGTTGAACTGGGAGTCGGGCGACCCGACGAGCTGGTGCCGAATGCGCGGAGTTGACGCGTGGGGCTACGACGGACTGTAGCGCGCGGGCGAACCTGACGGGTGCATGAGGACTAAGCGGGATGACGACTTCGTGGGTTGGTGCGTGACGACGGACTGTCCGCATCGGAGAGAGAGGGAGAGGAAGAGGGAGTTAAGGTTGATGGACGTGGATTTGCAGTTTTCTTTGTCTTTTCTCCCTCTTTGCTTTTGTATATAAATTTTGATCTCGGCTTAGGGCGACTCGCCTGTTTTCTTTTGTTTTCGGAATCTTGGCTTTGTTTCGGCCCACACTCGTTCTGCGATTGATCTCGATCTCGTTTGTTGTGCGTTTTGTCGAATGAATGGATGAATGAATGTCATGTCTGTTGCTTTTCCTTTGTCTGGTCCTTGCCTTTACTTGTCATTTTGATACACTCATGAGCATAGTAGAAACTTTTGCGTAGTCGTCATTACTTCCATTGCCGTTTATTATTTTTGAGCCACTGCTGTTGCTGCGATGCCTGATGTGTAATGGCACCATGCATGCTCAGGAACGATTGCGTACGGGATCACGAGGTGATTAGATGATTGGGTAGTTGTTTGTCCAGAAACAAGCGAATACCTCGCGGGGATGCGTGTAAGCAAGATCTTATCTGCGCAGCCTACACGTATCCACGCGCGCCGATTCGCGTCCATTGACGAACTCGACACCTTCGATATCGGGTAGGCGGGAATTTCCCTTCCCCCACGCACCTAAACGGATAGGAGTTTTCGATATCACATCGGAAAATCCCCCTGCCGGTTAGACGCGTGCGGAAGAATTCCATCACACTACAATGATAAGATGCCGAGTTCCTGGGACTCAGAGTACTTCGACCCTTGGGTGAGAGAATGTATTAGGCAAAGATACCCGGAATTCATCTGCTTAACCGATAATCGATTGTGCCCCAGGGAGTTTCACTGTGCCACAACCAACGATCCGAGATGCCCCGATTTTCCCACTTCGGACAACATGGAATACTTCATATCCCCCGGCTTCGTCGTTATCTCTACCAATTTCCCTCCCTTCCGTCTTCTCCTCCCGTATCACCAACTCACGGTGGTTCCGTGGAATTCCATCGCCCCGTACTGGCCCCGCACGCCTTGCGAAAATTGCCGGCGACGTGACAACCGACGAGCCCCTGAAACTAGAGGGCCTAACCCAAACGCGCGACGACTGACGCTACGTGTCTGCACCCAAAGGTCCGACTCATCGGGAACACAACTAACCCGGGCGGGCCTCTCCCCGAACCGCCGCCCCCAAAACAGACGGATTGGACGGCCCTGAATGCACCACGCATGCCATCTGCCTTATGTTGCACGACCTCGATCGCCCTCAGACCGGAAGTAACTCGCCCCCTTAACCCTATTGCATCTATGCCCCTGAAACTTTGCCACAGGAGATCTCAGTTCCGACCTTGGACTCCACCCCCACTTTCCCAAAAATCCTTCGCACACCCCTTTTCGCACTTCCAGGCCCACATCTCACTCCGATCAGGAAGTCGCGTTGGGCGTGAGGTTGGTATCGGAGCCCGACACGTGGCAGGGATCTAGGGCTCATAGCTGGGCGATCTGGCTAACAGGGGACGACCTCGACCCCGGAACACGCATCGACGCGATCCCGTCGTCACCAAAAGCCGGTCTGCGGCTTGACGGACGGTCAATATGAATGTTAATCAGCAGAACCCCTAATAGAACCCGAATCCCCAGCAGAATCCTAATCAACCCGTACCACGAGCACGGGTTCCTATGACGCCGGCCGACCTTTATCTGTTCGACATTTCACATCATCTCGCTGGAGCATGGCTAGCCACGCTCCGCGCTCAACAGTACGATGATAACGAGGCACAAGTGAACATCCCTGCACGACTGGGAGAAGATGCCTATCACTGGTTTAGCACCTATGTGTGGGTCGATCTCCCGACATTCGAGCGAGATTTCTTGAACCGATTCGATTACATCCACCCAGAACAAGCTCTCTTTATGATCAAAGATCGAGTTCAAAAACCCCTCGAATCTGTCACCGAGTATCGAAACCGATTCTATAGGATGTTTGTAAAAACAGAACGAGGCGAACAAGTAGGTAGAGATTTGTTCATCGATGGACTTCGCAGCCGAACGATGCCGGCGAAACTGCGAAAACAGTTCTCCCCCATCAATCACACGCTGCAACAGATCACGGCAGCCGCAGAAGAAATGAAGCGAAAGTTCGCTGCGAGTTTCCTAGAGGGAGAAGACTATCATAGGGAAGGAGACTCGTCCGAGCTAGCGAGAGCTAAAGCTGAGTTGGCTGCACTGCAGAACAAATTTGAAAACATGGGGTTCGTATCGGGCCCTGTCACCTATCTGGAACAGATTAGTCCCAAATGACCAGTCTCGAGTGTGCTTTCGATCGTGCCCGTGCCCATAATGACTGCACCCCCGCCATCGATCGAAACCCCCGCACGACCGAACGAGTCTTCCGCCCTATTACAACTAACCAAGACATTGATTCAAGAAAGCAAAAAGGAACAACGAGAACACAGCGCTCGAATAAAGGCAATGATGAGGTCGATGCGTTCAATAGCGATGCGTGCCGCCCCAATTCAACACGGATTGGCTCCGACACCCCTTCCCGCTGGGATCCCAGGCAATCTGAACGTTTGCTACACGTGTCACCAACCAGGGCATCTAGCCCGAGATTGCCCTCATCGACCCCCGCAGCAACGAGTCGGAGCCACACCAGTAGTAGCGGTCCCGATCGCCAACGGACCCGGATGAGTAGGGGCATTGATGAAAGAAATGGAAGGAGGCGGAAGCACATTGGCTACGATAGAGGAAGCTGCCGAACTAATCCCGTTAGATCAGTACGTAACACTCGGCTACCTAGGACTTGGGATGATTGGAACGATTAGACCCGCGCCAGAACAAAGAGAAGTGGCGGAATGGCAACCGTCTCCAGGAGAAATGGAGTCGGGAGGACCCACCTTCGTCACTGGGGAGATCGATGTTTTAAACATCGTTCGAGCCTTAGATCATCGGATTCCTCTTCTGATCGGTCACCTACTTTCGATATCGGAACAAGCTAACCAACGAACGCTGCAACATTGCAGAGCGAATCGTTTTAGCGAATCGAAAACGATTCGCTCTTGCCCGAACAACGAGCACAAAAGCGAAAAATCCCACGCCAGATGAAAATGCAGCAGGAACTTCAGATCCAATACGATTAGGATTAATCCAGAAAGATGATCACTTCCTACGGATTAAACTGATCCGATGGAAATCCGTCGAATGCGATATTGAGATATGGGGAATCTCGTACAACGCCATTATCCATTCAGGAGCCACCGTTCTGGCTATCTCGTTACGGGTAGTTGAAAAAGCAGGAAGAAAGAACGATCTAATCATGCTTACAGAAAAATATCATCTCGTGTCAGCAGATGAGGAGAAGATCAAAACGGTGGGACGGATGACCAACGTTGTTTTTCGATTAGGGAAGGTGCACGCTTTAGGAGATGTCATGGTCTTAGACGTAAATACTTACGACGTCCTTTTCGACCTTCCCGCTCTTGTGGCCCTAAGAGCCAATCTGGATTTCGAGAGACGATCGATCGTCCTCTGAAATACAGGAGGAAAACCATATGTTGTACCGATGAGATTGACCCTTCGTACCACCACTAACGTGACTCCGCGAGTTTCTCCCATGATGGCGAGAACTCTCCGTGTGATCACTTGGGATAATTCCGCAGATGACGGGCAACCGTCAAAGGACACAGACAACAGTGACGAGGACGATCCGGTGATCCTGGAGATGGCACAGCAGCTTATCCATTACCCGGTGCAACGAGCAAATACAAGGTCGCTAAGCCTGACCGATCAGAGTCTACAGAGAACGCAAGCCATGATTATGGGTGAACCCCTCGTGCAGATTTCGAGGATGGTCGATTCTTTGGAACCCCCTCGAACCCTGTACGAAGGTATCCCCACTCTACTTGCACGATACAATGACAAAAGGCACTATTGCGACATCACAAATCTCCCATGATCTCTCTCGACGACTGCAAAAGAGATACGATTGATACGCCTAGGGGCAGAGACCAATTCTTTGGAACCCCTTGAGCGCCTCGAAACCGGACTTGGGATTAAAATTGCGACCAAACCAGTACCTTGGCAGGACATTCGAGACGGGGAAACCCCGGAAGAACACGTGGTTATTCGAGAACAGGATGCACAGATGATGGTCACGGTATTCTCCAGGCGGTCGGACAACTCGTTTATTTCCACGCCTCCGCCCGAAAGCGCTAAACGAGTAAGTACGAAACACATCGATGTACAGATATGGAATGAGTTGTACGAGTTGTATGTGCCCCAATACGTACCTGATGAAATCCACCATTTAATCGCTGCAATTTTAAAAGAATACAAAGGATCGATTAGTCTGACGGACACAGACATTGGACTGTCGTTAGTCATACAGCACGAAATCCAGACCGGAAACCATCCCCCGAGCCGCTGTAAGCCTTACAGATACTCCTTCGCAGTACGAAAAACCGCCCTCGAGCGGATTCGAGAATTCGAAATCAATGGTTGGATCGAACCTGCCACTGGACCATGGTCGTTCCCGGTAGTATTGGTGCCGGAAAAAGAATGGGTCGATTCGCATATGAATTGATTATCGCAAACTGAATGACATCACGATCAAAGATGTATACCCCCTTCCCAGGATTGATGATTTACTGGATGCGATTGGTTGTGCTAATTATTTTAGCAAGTTTGATATTCGTCACGGCTTCCATCACATTCTGGTTAACGAGGAAGATCGACCGAAAACGACCTTTGTACTATTTGAAGGCACGTGGCAGTGGGTCCGGTGTCTGATGGGTATTTGTAACGCGCCTGCCACGTTTCAGCGGGCGATGAACGTGACGTTCCAGAACTTCGTCAACAAGACACGGCTCACTAAGGGGATGATCAACTTTTGCGTCATCGTGTACATGGACGACATCCTCGTCTACTCGGAGACCTATCACGGGCATGCACAACACATCGAGTGGACGCTAGGACCTTTGAGATACGCTGGGTTCAAGATCGCGCTCGAAAAGAGCGATTTTTTCCTCTCGGAAATCTCGTTCTTGGGTTACGTGGTGACACGTGGAGGACTGCGGCCAGATTTAATGAAAGTCGTGGCAGTGAAAAATGCTCCTGTCCCCACGTCAGTGACGTAGGTTCGAGCTTTCCTGGGACTTGCACCATACTACCGTCGTTTTATCAAGGGCTTCGCTGCGATTGCGCGACCTCTGACGAATCTGCTGCGAAAGGACCAACCCCTCAGTTGGGACGCAGAGTACAAACAGGCCTTAGCCACCCTCAAAGGCGCTCCGGCGACGACACCTATTTTGATCCGGCCGGACCCTATGAAGCAGTTCATTCTCATCACGGACTGGCAGCCAGAGGCGATTTCCGCTATTTTAGCGCAGAAAGGGAGTGACGGTCGAGAGCACGTCATCGAGTACGCGTCTCGTATAGTGCCAGACGAACGAAGGAACGACTCAGCCCCACAAGGTGAATTCTATACTCTAGTCTGGGGAATTCAGCACTTCCATCCGTACCTGTACGGACATAAGTTCCTCCTTGTAACCGATCATGAGCCATTATTGACTCTAAAAAAACTTACTAATTACACGGGCATGATTGGACGGTGGGCTGTGCGCCTACAGGAATACGATTTCGACATCATCCGTCGAAAGAGAGAGAGGCACGGCAACGCGGACGGGTTGACACGTCTGCATCGCCCCGCTAAGGTACCGAAAGGCGAAGAAATCATTCCGTGGAAGGAACCTCAGTCAGCGAACGGATCCAAGTACGGACAAGTGGCAGTCCTTCCACGTGGCAAGAAGCAGACAATTGGCAATGGGTGACGGCGACAATCCTACAACTCCTCTTTCTCCCCTCTCATCTTCATCTTTTCTCTCCCTACCCGACAAGTTTTGTTATTTTTGTGAAGCCATTTCACTCGTCTACTCCATCTCCATGCGACCTAGTGGGGAAGGGTATGCAGAATGGATAGATTGTCGACAGTGTGCCGCGCGAGCCCATGGCTCGTGCATCCAGTACAAAAATGGCGATAAGCCTTGGTTGTGTCCCTTGTGTCGGACTGATAAGATCCCGACTTAAGCTCGATTTCTTGACGCCATGTCAGCAGGGTTGGAAAAGACCCAGAAGTTTAGAAGGGCCGAGGTATGGACGGACATCGCTCTAATTGCCACCTTGGTAAGAAACACCCTCCAGGACTTCACTAAGGAAGACAAGAGGAGGGCTAATGAAAGAGCTCGGGATTATCGTTGGAACGAGGGCCGGTTAGAAAAACGGAAGACGGATGGTAGCGGGATTTGGATGGTAGTGCCGCACCCGTTCATGAGGTATGACTGGGTTAAGACGGCGCATGAGGAAATTGCAGCCCATTTTGCTGTACGGATTACGGAAGCGACAATCGATAAGAATGAATGGTATTGGTCCAATATTCGCGATGATGTGAAATTCATCGTCGAAAATTGTCAGGTCTGCGCTGCTGACAAGGCGCCGATCCAACCGCCAAGATCGATAGTATCGACGATAGTCGAACAGCCGTTTTAGAGGGTTAGCATGGATACTACCGATATTGTGGTGCCCCCTAGAGCTAATAACTGCGAGTATTCAATCCCACTGGTATTCGTAGACCATTTTTGGAAATGGATCGAGGCATATCCGTGTCGTACGCGACAGGCAGCTGAAATTGCATGATACGTCAACCGGTTTCTAGGGATGCACCAGGACATAGAGGAAATCCCGACTGACAATGGGGTAGAATTCAGAGGGGAAGTCTTAAGGAATCTGGTCGTACATGGCGTTGCTATTCAGAACACTGCACCCCACATGTCACAATCTAACGGCCTGGTAGAAAATACAAATTGAGTTATAAAGATGGCACTACGACGAAACATCGCGGCATGGGATCCGAGGCCCTGGCCCGATATCGTAGATCACATCTTGGCGGTCCATCGCGGAACGCCTCACGAATCGACGGGCCTTAGCCCCTTCCAATTACGAACCAATAGTGTAGCTTGTGTCTCGATACCGAGCCTCCCCGATGAATCTTCATTGAACCGACGGCCCACAAGGGCCACGACTTGGGACAAGGCCAAGCGACACATGGAGCTGATGGAACGGTCCCTTCCCCAATTAGCCTGAAAACGCCAGAAAATGACTGAGTTGGCCCACGACCGACAGGTCCGTAGCTACGAGGCCCAGAATGGGAACGTAGGACCACGACCCCAGTATAAATTTGGGGACCTGGTGCAGGTGAGGAAATGTGCTCGTCAAGGGAAGATAGCGCCACGATTCTTCGGGCGATTTCGCGTGATCGAACTCGGCCTGAACGGAGTGAACACCGTGCGCCTCATGTCGGAGGTCTCGAAAAGCTGATCGGCTCGACCGATCGTACACCATGTGTCCTATCTACGTCCCCTCCATTCCTCTCCATCTCCAGTTGTGTCTGCTTCCTCCTTCGCTACGGAAGAGGAAAACGACTCGTTATCGCTCTCATCCCCTCCTGCTTCTCTTACTCCATCCTCATCGCCATCGCCATGAGTTTTCTTACTGAGCAGGCTCTCGACGATCACATGCTGGCGCCACGTGGCGACATCTCGGCAATTCGGCAAGTTCATCATCCGCGATTCAGTTCGGACCTCCTACGGCTCGCGCAGTTCTTCAGCACTACCGGGGTATACGCAGCGGCAGAGTTCCGATTCACCGGTCATCATCAAGCGATCGTACTGGCAGAAGCGACGGTGGTTCGACGACTGTCAGCACCAGGAGTTAGCCACGTATCCACCGTCGTCGTCATCAGCGGTGACATCAGCGCGATCAGCCCTCTGCGACACACGCCCATCCGGACGTCGCTAAGGGAGTGGGGACAGCAGCTGGCAGCAGAATGGAGTCAATGGCTTACGCGCCGCGGCGATAATCTTGTCCCCGTGGACGACATCGACGTCGGAGGACTCCGGACGTCGAGACACGAGCCCGCGGTGGTGCTTCTTGAGTTCGTCCCTTTGCAGCGTCCCCAATGAACCGATCCCAACTCTCTACCTTCGCTCTCCCCTCTCTCTTCCCTACCTTCTGGCAGTCTGACCTTTGCCCCCGTCTCTCCTTTCGTTTAGAACCACTTGTCGTTCCACTTCTCGATCGAAGACAGTGGGAACAGTGGTGCGAACATTTCGTCGATCTTTCGGTGTATCTGGTCGGAGTGCAGCTGACGTGGACAAGGGACGTAGAGCACCGCGCTTGGGTTGCATACGTGGAGCTGTTAATTATCCAAGTGTGGAGGACGGAGGTGGAAGGAGACCTTCTCGGATTTCTATTCAGATCGATGCGTCCCGACTATCGGCAGCAAATCATACAGGAACTCACGATTCCCCTCGCGCAGCTGCTTGACGATCTCCCTCTCGACATCATCTCGCAGAGCGACGAGAGTCCAGTCCCGCACGTCTTTTCACGCGCTTTGACACCCTACCTGCAGTGGTCGGCTTGCCTCGAGGAGTTAGCGGGCAACAACAACCCGCCATCGCAACACCCATACTTGGATCCCCAGAGGATAATCGACCTCGCCTTCTTTCAGCCTCGAACGGCCTCCGAAGACGAAGCGATAGCGCTAGAGGAAGAGGAGGAGGAGGACGAGGAGGAAGGCGAAGAAGAAGAGGAAACCCCGGAAGAGGGAAGTTACAACGAGCACAGCGAGGGAGAGCAGAGCGACGACGAGAAAGAAGAAGAATCTGAGTGGGAAACTTTGGAAGAAGAGGCGGATCGCGTGGAAGGCACGGAGGAGGATCCCGAGGCGGTGCGGAAGAGAAAAGAAATCGTCGCCGGCAAGCAGCAGCTGGAGTACGCAAGCGAGGTGAATCTGCCAGTCTCAAACGATCCAGCTATGGATCCGGAGCTGCCTAAACCAGAAGATGGGGACCTTGCTGTCGAGACTTCGAGCGCACCGGCCAGGCGACGGCGAAGCCGATCCCCCTCCCCCTCCACCTCAGCCCGTCCACCAGTTCAGCTCGTACTGATGTGGGGCATCGGGCTTTGTCCCCGGTCTTTATCCCGTCGTCCCCTTGACCACCTAACCCTCCGCCAAATCACTACCCGCACCACCTTCCCCAGCAATCCCTTCCCCATTGACACCTTCCGCTTCTTCTACGCCATCCGTCTTGCTGTCACGGTTCATCCCATCCTTCTACCTGGTGTGTCGTCCTTGCCTTCTGTCTCCACGCCCTTCTCTTCAGCGCCGCGTGGTGAGACCACAACATGGCCGAGGTTTATTGCATGATCACGGGGACTATCCCCACGTGTGAAAACCACGATCACTTTCGAACGGCGCTTCTCGGAACTTTCACCACCCTTTACCCCGACTATCTCGCCTCCCTCCCTCATAGTGGTAATCAATTCCCTCGGTTCCACCGGATCGTCCGATATCAGGAGCTTCCGGAGACCATCGCGAGGTTGGAACGCTTTCTACCCCCACTCCCGACTAACCCACCCCCTCATCATGCCCCCATGTATCGTCTCCCCTTTCCCCTTCCCCTAGGACATTGATGCATGGTTGGTTGGCACGTGCCATGGAGACGGCACGCACGATCCCCTCCTCGGACTGAAGAAAGCCCATCCTGAGGAAATTGTAGGATAGAGCCACGTGTGCCACCCTGAATGACTTCCACACTCTTTTGCATGGTTGGTGGCGATGTAGAAAGCTCCACATGTCGATCGATTAGAGAGATCGACACATGTCACGATTCGAGCAAGCAGGAGCTTGCTTAAGATTGGAACCCCCTGGGCGTCACATATGTGACAAACCAATTTCTGTTCTGCACGATTTTCTGCGCGATGACAATGAGGGGTCTAAAGATGGGAAGGTTGGTCCAAATACGGGAGATCGGGATCGAAGGGAAATTGCATAAGTGTCCTCCATTCTTCGTCTTTTTGCGTCGTTTCTTTTCGGACGGTTGGGTTCAGGGTCGGGCAAGTCCCGAGAGGGCCGATTGAGTGGCTGTTGCGCCGATAAAGACACGAATAATAATGTTTGACATCGCTTCTTTCTTGTTCTGTTGTCGGGTTTTAGGCACGGAGGGCGCGCGAGAATTTTGCTTCGTTCTTTTTGAATTTCTTTTTCGAATCTTGTCGAGCCTTGATGGCTCTCGGAACTTTGGATTTGCTTTTCGGAATTTGTGTTTCTTTTTGCATTAGCTAGGAATTTAGGAATTTAGGAATTTAGGAATTCGGGATTTCTTTTGCCGCGCGTCGTCTTTCTTGCGCGCTTCTTTTTGCGGCTGCAGCGGAGCCTCTGATTAGTCGGCGCCCTTAATCATGCAAGTAACCGTAATTTTTGGCTGGGCGCCATTGTAACTGTATCTTTCTTCTTGAGCTTCGGCTTTCCCGCTCTCCCTTTCCCTTTTGTTGTGCCCAGTTAGCCCTCGGCCTGCATGATCGGATCGATATGTGGAGAGTAGCTACGTTCCCCACACCGTGGTCTGGTCATGCAAAATGTAGGCGCTTCGTCTCCTAATCTCCTTTCTAAGTCCTTGCAATTCCGTGTTCTTCGTGCATGCATGCACGCTATAAATTCTGGCTGCACGATTAGATAGCTCTCTTAACCAACTGTTGGAAGCTCGGGGTAGCACGATCAGTGAGGGTCGGCTCACGAGCGAAGTAAGAGGTGAGTTGAAGTGGGAGTCGGGTGACCCGACGAGCTGGTGCCGAATGCGTGGGGTTGACGCATGGCGCTACAACGGACTGTAGCGCGCGGGCAAACCTGACGGGTGCAAGAGGACTAAGCGGGGTGACTTCGTGGGTTGGTGCGTAACGACGGACTGTCCGCATCGGAGAGAGAGAGAGAGGAAGAGGGAGCTAAGGTTGATGGACGTGGATTTGCAGTTTTCTTTGTCTTTTCTCCCTCTTTGCTTTTGTATATAAATTTTGATCTCGGCTAAGGGCGACTCGCCCGTTTTCTTTTGTTTTCGGAATCTTGGCTTGGTTTCGACCCACACTCGCTCTGCGATTGATCTCGATCTCATTTGTTGTGCGTTTTGTCGAATGAATGGATGAATGAATGTCATGTCTGTTGCTTTTCCTTTGTCTGGTCCTTGCCTTTACTTGCCATTTTGATACACTCATGAGCATAGTAGAAACTTCTGCGTAGTCGTCATTACTGCTTTCATTGCTATTTATTCTTTTTGAGCCACTGTTGTTGCTGCGATGCCTGATGTGTAATGGCACCTTGCAGGCTCGGGAACGATTGCGTACGGGATCACGGGGTGATTAGATGATTGGGTAGTTGTTTGTCCAGAAAAAAGTGAATACCTCGCGGGGATGCGTGTAAGCGCGATCTTATCTGCGCAGCCTACACGTATCCGCGCGTGCCGATTCGCGTCGTTTGACGAACTCGACACCTTCGGTATCGGGTAGGTTTTCCCTTCCCCCACGCACCTAAACAGATAGGAGTTTTCGATATCACATCGGAAAATCCCCCTGCCGGTTAGACGCGTGTGGAAGAATTCCATCACACTGCAATGATAAGATGTCGAGCTGCTGGGACTCAGAGTACTTCGACCCTTGGGTGAGAGAATGTATTAGGCAAAGATACCCGGAATTCCTCAGCCTAACCGAGAATCGATTGTGCCCCAGGGAGTTTCACTGTGCCACAACCAGCGATCCGAGGTGCCCGGATTTTCCCACTTCCAACAACACGCAATACTTCATATCCCCCGGCTTCATCGTTATTTCTACCAATTTCCCTCTCTTCCATCTTCTCCTCTCATATCACCAACTCACGGTGGTTCCGTGGAATTCCATCGCCCCATACTGGCCCCGCACGCCTTGCGGAAATTGTCGGCGACGCGGCAACGGACGAGCCCCTGAAACTAGAGGGCCTAACCCAAACGCGCGATGAGAGACGCCACGTGTCTGCACCCAAAGATCCGACTCATCGGGAACACAACTATCCAGGGCGGGCCTCTCCCCGAACCGCCGCCCCCAAAACAGACGGATCTGCCTTATGTTGCACGACCTCGATCGCCCTCAGACTAGAAGTAACTCGCCCCCTTAGCCCTATTGCATCTATGCCCCTAAAACTTTGCCACAGGAGATCTCAGTTTCGACCTGGGACTCCACCCCCACTTTCCCCAAAATCCTTGGCACACCCCTTTTCGCACTTCCAGGCCCACATCCCACACCGATCAGGAAATCGCGTTGGGTGTGAGGTTGGGGTGTCACAGGTGGCCATGGGAGTTTCTTGTTAGGGAAAGTTTTGACGTGATTTCGCTGCAAAACTCACTCCGTGGGGGAGTCCGCGCGGAACTGTTTCCAAAGTTTCCAAAATTTTTCCACCGTCTTTTTTGGGCAGACGTCGTTTCCAACGGAATCCCTGTGGGATCCAGGCCTTACCTTGATTTAACCCAAGGAAAAGGGTGGATTAGGGATTTTGGATCCATCCTTACAATGTCAAGCTTTGGTTATCCAATAGATAAGGCATCTGATTTTCACGTGTGAACTCCCATGAAGAGTACTTGCACTATAACAAATTCATAAACTAGCTTCAGTCTCTAAGGTGATATTCATCCCCTCACTTGGGTAGAGCCTTAGAGAATAGGCACTAGAGGGTTCCTCGTGCTCACGAAGGGGAGAGGATGACTAACATCTGGACCACACTTTTGAAAACATGGTGTAAGCTACCCCTTCCCAATAAGTCGTCCCCCTCCAGATATGAGGAAATCCTAAGACAACCTATTTTTGGCAATCAATGGATTACTGACTCTAAGGGCAGGGTCTTTGTTAGTTCATGGGCGAAATATGAAATAGTAAGAGTTAAGGATTTATAAGACTCAAAAGCTAAATCATGGAAATCTTCAGAGCGACTTAGGAAGGGAATTATATATGCACATAAACTGCAAGACAACTTGGATCTTATCATTTATTCCCTTCCCTTGGCCTGGTTGGTTACTCCGAAGAAGGGGCCTAGCTTCAAGACGGCCGACTGGGTATGCGGTCATTGTCCAACTGGCTTCAAGGTGATCGGAAAGATTTTGGATATTCATCTTCACGAAGCGTTGGTTCACTCGTCCATAGACAATAAGGCTCGTGCTCGACTAACTTACTTCGAGGAGAAAATTCTCTTTCACCGACTCATCAGGAGGCTGAACCCTCAACAGTCTGCAAAATCCCCTAACTGATTATACTATAAGTGATAATCCACATTCACCCCGGTTGTGGTTAAGCATCAACGATTGCGCGACAACTGATACCTTGAGGTGGGCACTAACCACTGCCCTCAAGGTACCCGTGACGAAAATCAAAATAGACTATCACTCACCCACACCAGATGAAAAACTCTACAGACTGTCGGTTCACACCCCATCACAAGCCAGCAAAACATCCACGAATCATATATATATATATATATATATATATATATATATATATCGTCACAAACAGAACTGCCTGGTAAACCGTAGGCAGAGAGAGAGAAGAGGACAACAAATGAGGGGYTGTGATAAACTGTTTCGTCGGAGTTTCACCGACTCATCAAGAGGCTGAACCCTCAACAGTCTGCAGAATCCCCTCATTAATTACACTGTAAATGATAATCTACCTTAACCAAAATCAAAGTAGACTATCACTCACCTACACCAGATGGAAAACTCTACACACTGTCGGTTCACACCCCATCACAAGCCAACAAAACATCCACGAAACAAAGAAAGGTCTTTCACAGCCAAAAAATACACTCCAGACACGCCGCTGGCACTAGAGGCACAACATGGCCGCCTAGTA